TTTAATCATACTTTTTATATACCTGGAGGAAAATTTGAAAATATTATATACTTATATTAGTTAAATTACAAGCTTAATTTAACTTGAAAATGGTMCTAATAAATTTATTAACTTTAAAAAGTAATTAATAAGTTCTTAAATGATGTGTTATGTTTAATAAATTTTTTATTTTTAAAAAGTATATCATAAGTTCATAAATTTTAAATTTTGTGTTGTGATCTATTAAATACTTTTTAAAATTTATRATTATGTTCTTTTTAGTACAACATGTAGAGGTGAGAGATATATTTCAATTATCGTGCATTTCGACAAAATTTATACATCTATTAAACATTAATTTTGTATTTGATTTTAATAGATCTATAAAATTTAAAAAATATCTAAYATGTCAAAGTTTAAAGATATACTAAACMTAACTCATAAAAATTTATGAACCAAACCTACCATTCAAATTTTATATTATAAAGTTTTAGACTTGTAGTTAAATATAATGCAGTTTAAAACATATAGACCATCTAAAAGTTGGTTTTAAAAACTATAAAAAGTTATTTTTTGTTTATTTATTTTTTTTAAAATTAACTCGAGYCTTTCTTCATTTAAAAATAATCATACAATTAAAAAATACTCGAAACAATAATTCTTACAAATATTTAGGTCATCAAACAACCTTTACATCTCATTTTTACTTTCTAAGACATATATCTGATCCCTTACCTATTATCACATACTTTATTAAAAACTAACCTTACGAGTACACAATTCGATCCCCCAAATTATTTAATAATAAAAAATTAATTTTGATATTTACCATAAGAAAAGTTTCTCTCTATAATCTCATCTATCATTGCAATCGAAAAAGAAAAACTATGCAGATGTAAACATTAAAGAAACTGAACAAGAATCTGATAGATAAGGTTTGGTTGAGACAACAACTTTAAATACTTTTTTCTCTTGTGATGCATCATTATTGTTTGAACGAGGAAATAACATGAAAAAACTGTAACCATGTGAAAAATTTGAATAAAAAGAAATTAATTTGAACAGAGATTAGTAGTGGGGAAAAGGGCATTAATAATTGGAATTTGGAAATAGGAAGGCAGCACGAAACTTCAGAGCCACACGTGCGAATTTTTCTAGGGATTATATCCAACAAAAAAGCCGAAGAAAAAGGAAATTGAGATTTTGTTTCTCTTTTTTTTTTTGGTGGGATTTTCGGATCATGTCTGTCCAAAAAGAAAGCTGCTCCACCAATAATCCCATCACCGAATATACCAATCTTCCTCTCAAAGTTTTTTTTTTTTATTTTAAATAATATATCTTTTTGAATAAGAAATTATTGAGCGATAAAATTTGACTATATATGTTACATGCATGAAAATARAAGAATTTATTATGTGTTGATTTTAATCAATTTTGAGGCTTCGTTCGCGGATTCTAACGATTCGTTGGTAGTGGTTAGAACAACAAACTCGAAATCGGCAAGAGGTATAATTGTGAGAGTTGTAAGTTGAGTTTGTGGTTTGGTTCTTAAAATATATTGTCTTTCTTAGAAAATTTTTAATTTTTTGTTATCAAATATTTCCTTAAATCTCACTTCATCGTTTCATCATTCAATTTAAAGATTGAAAATTTTAAACATTGCGATAAAAGTTAAAACTTTTAAATTATTGAAGATGAAAATTTAAAAATATATATAGTATACTTTRGACACCAAATAGCATATTTACTTCMATCTCAATTGTATATTATTTTTGATGCACTATTCATGGATCACTTGTTATGGCCCACTTAATTAAGGATCTTTCTCTCTATTTATGGTTCAATTAATGATCAAGTAAATTTATAATTTATGAGTAAATTTTGGCCAACAAATTTAGTTGAACGGTAATTAWCATCTAACTCTCATAAAGAGATCATAAGTTCGATTCTCCCGTCTTCACTTATTGTACTAAAAAAAGAGTGAATTGAGATTTTTTTTTCTTTTTCATGGGATGAATTTGAATTAGAAATAAATAAAAGTTAACGAGATTAAGAATTGTCATTTACTATATTAGTTAGTTGGGACCAAAATGCATTATTTAGCTTTAATTGCCTTAATTAATTAAGCACTTGATTAAATACGTGCTTTCTTCTAAAAAAAATTACTTTCGAAAGAAAAGGAAATTATACTGYTGGGCATAGTTTTTAAAACATGATATTTTAGAATTATTAATTGTATTCAGCCCCCAAAGTTTCGAAATTAAATGACATGACAAGTTTTCCATAGGTTCAAACATAAAATACAAACGTCATTCCAATAAAAGAAAAGGACTTTTTTATTTCCACAAAGAAACAAAAAAAAAACCACTATTAAACCACAAAAATTGCTAAGAGAGATTCTAAAATTTTCAAACTTCAAACTCATTCACGTTTAGAATATTAATCTTTTCCAATAAAGTAAAAGGAACCCAATACAATGATCCAAACCCTATAAAATAAACTTTTCCCTAACATATAAAAACAAAATGGTAAGTGTTAATTTCAAGCTTAAAATGATAGATCATGTTACAAAAGAGAAAAGATAAATTGATAAAAAAAAAAAAAAAAGTAAGAAGAGAGCAAAATATTTAAAAAAATATTTGAAAGTATTTTCAAAAGTAGGGTAGTGAAATCGCAGTCATTGGATGCGATTTTAGGTAAATTGTATTTAATGGCTGCGATTTTAGGCGAAATARGAGTTTGCAAGTCGAAATCGAAGCTAATGACCGCGACTTCGGTGTCACGTGTTGGGATGGAAATGGTAGGGAAATCACATGCATTTGCTGCGAGTTATATGGTATATATATTATTTTGTCAATTTATTTCATTATAAGAATTGTCCAGCAATGGTCATAATGTTTTAATCCTCCATTCACGGATCTGTCAATAGTTTGAATGTATAACTTAATTTTATAATTTTTTTTATTTATACTACATTTATTTTGTTATTACTTTTAAATCTACATTATTTTTTAATTTATTTTTTAAATTATATTATTCTTGAACTTTCTCAGTTTTGTTCAGTCTTGTTTATAATCAATGGAAGAAGAGAGTATATGTTATTGGCCTCAATTTWATGATTTCCTTGCATTTAATTATTTAATAATTATTTTTTTTTGAAAGAAACATTTAATTAATTGCCTGTTTGACAAAATGACAAAGACTTCCCATAGCCCCCACCCATATTAAGCTAATCTTTCCCATCATATACTATACTATGTCACCCTCCTTCAAATTAAAAATCAATATAATCCATTCAACTTATACATTATTTTTTGTCAATTACCACTCACTAACGTATGCTCGTTTTAGCAACTTATACATAATTTATCTTTAGAAAAAAAAGATTTCCGATGATAAAGGGTAGGTTTGATTTTTTTTTTTTAGTAATAGATATTATATAATAAAAAACAAAAATAAAACATTTGTTATTTAAAAGATATTAGGTATATAACTTTGTGTTACTAGCGCTCACATGAGCATGATTTAATAGATAAGACACTTGTTACTATTTTAAAGGTCGATGGTTTGATCTCCAACTTTATTGGACTAAAAAAGAGATTATCAATGGTTCAAGAGTTGAGTATATGAATAAAATAATCTAATATATTAGAGCTTTATTTTTTTTATTTTTGCTTTTATGGTGATTTAACAAAATTTAACATAATATTAAGATGAGAGTTCTTGTTCTTGACCTCTCTATAATCTCATTTCCTCTCCAATTAACATCAATTATCAACTAAACTATTRGCGAAATTTTTGCCTTTGTTAAAAAGGATTTTCAAAATTTTAATTTTTATAATTTTAATTAAGCATTGAAATGGATTAGTTTTTTTTTTCAGAAAAATTGAAACATATGAAAAGTTGGTAAATAAGATTAATTTCTAAACACAAGAAAAATGAAAATTTTAATTATCATAAAAATTTATTTTTAAATCTAGTGTCTATTTTATGTACGATTCTTTGAGGAGATAAATTGAATTCATCAAAATCTAGCTATCTCGAATACAGTGATTTTGATACATATATTATAATAATTAAAATATAACATTTATTTTCATAAAATGGTCCAAAGGCTAGAATGACGGAACAAAAGTCATCTCGAACACTGTTTCAAAATCTGTGGAGACTATCAATCTTAAYTGTTTGAGATCAATAACCARCATGATTTGTGAAATTTAACTAATCATTCTTTACCTGTTATGGTGGAGAATAAAGCAATTTTGGAGGCAATTATTTCATTACCAATTCTAAATACGGGTGACATGATTGACAAGATMTCTCCATTAATCGAGGARTCTCTCCGACGTTATTTAATGAGATTGAAGATATTGTGACTTTAAGTAAAGTGTTTAGTGAGCTTAAATTTGTTCATGTTCTTAGTTATTTGACGCAAGTTGTTTTACTGGCCAAATGTATCATTTTTTATTATTTATCTATCTTTTGGGATAATTGTGTTCTATGACTTGATCAGTGGTCCTATTTTTTTTCTAATGCATTGTTTTTTAATTAAAAAAAGAAGTTTGAATATCTTTTATTAGTTTCTTAAAAGAGGAAAAGATTGAAAAGAGAATCGAGATTGTGAAAGACAAGSAGACAATGAAGCAATTTCGGGATTGAGGAAAGCAAAAAGGAAAAAAGAAAGAATATAATAATATAATTACTATTACTATTATTATTATTATTTTGAGTATGAATATAATTATTATTTAATGTTAATGYTGGAATTGCCACGCACGCATGCTCTACAAAACGACGCGTATTCATAATTTAGCCGCATATACTTCACGTGCGTCAAAATCCCGTTCAGACCGACCGGTTACCGTCTCAGTACGACGTTCACACCTTCTGTTCTGTCGGTCCACGTACTTGGTTTCCACTCCCTCTGTCTCGTCCGTACCAAACTCTGACCTACAATTGCCGGTCACCCCCTCCTAGAAAAACAGCTTCTTAACTCCCCATTTTCCCATTTCTCCCAATTCCCAACCCCCATTTTCTCTCTCTACAAAATCCCCCATCTCTCTCTAGGTTTTGGGACGGCGGCGATGGAGGACGTGGCGGCAGCCGATTCGTTGAGATGCCCATTTTCCGATGCCTTCGAATTCGTCGACGGAAATGGTCGGCTAGAATTTATGGATCTTCTTGGAGTTCAAGACTTTTCGTCTCAATTATCGTCTTCTCTTATCGTTCCAAATCTTGAGGCAAACTCCATCATAGAGAATCTCGAGATTTGGAACCGTTGGCCCGCAACGTCGAATTCATCATCGACATCTAATGAAACTGTCAACGACGAACTGACAGAGCAGAATCAAGATGGAGGCGAAAAACGTCGCCTACCAGAATCCGTGAAATCTGACCAACGGTGAGGGTCTTTTGATTTTAATTCTGTTATTTAATTTTTTCTCCTTATCTTCTGCTAAGAAACTTATGAAGATTAGGTGAAATTTTGATAAATTAGACAATAATTTATTGTAAGAAGAAAAAAAAAACATAAAACGACGGAGCATTGTGTCTAGAAATAACCAGAATCTGATATTTTTCTTAAAAGAAAACTGTTTTTCCCCTCTTTCTTAAATAAATTTAAAAGTCTCAGAACTCAATCTTTTAGAAATTTTTTAGATTCTTATGATTTTGTTGTTCTTTTCATTAATTATTGCCAAATTTAAAAGTAGAAGAATTTACCTACACGAGTTTTCAATTTGATTATTTAGTGTGTGCACTATAGTTAACAGAAGAGATAAAGAATATTTAACTAATCATAATTTTATTCATAATGATTTGATAATTTGTTAAATAGATGGAACTATTTTAGGCTAAATCACCCCGAATTCAAAAGCTTAAGAGTATAGGTTATAGGAAATTAATCAATACTTTAATCCTTTATGATTTATAATATTAAATTTTGTGAAAAATATAGGTCGAAAGTAATGAAGACGAACCAGAAGAAGAAAGAGCAAGAACCACGATTTGCGTTTATGACAAAGAGCGAGGTCGATCACTTGGAAGATGGATATAGATGGAGAAAGTATGGCCAAAAAGCTGTGAAAAACAGCCCTTATCCTAGGTAAAAAACTTCAACATAAATTTTCATGTCTATATCTTGTTCAATCTTTTAGATTTTCTGAAGATTATTTTGGTCTTGTTTTTAGAAATTACGTTGTTTAGGACAAATTTTTGTAACATGGCGTGTTTGGTTTTTCTTCTGTAGGAGCTATTATCGTTGCACTAGTGTGGCATGCAATGTAAAGAAACGAGTGGAGAGATGTCTTAAGGATCCGAGCATTGTGGTGACAACCTACGAAGGCCAACACACTCACCCCAGCCCTCTCATGCCCCGATCAACCTTCATTCATCACCCCATTTCTGCCGCCACCGCCCTCCATGGTAGCTCCACAACGTTCGCCACCACGCCCCCGTCTCTCTTCCACTACCGAAATGCACACAATTGGGATTTTGTTGGCCACCCGAACGCTTCCTATGTGTCACCTTCGTTTCATCAGGAGCGACAACTGCATGACATTGTCTCCTCTGAACAAGATGCTCATTTGCTTGCTATCAATTATGGGTCGCTTCAGGATGTCATCTCTTCCAATACGTTAGGCTGGTAGAGGGAGATGGTTTGACCTCACCCGACCCAATTAGTTGTCACTTATTTAGAATATAATGTTAGTTACATGATTGTATACAATACGTATATTGGATTGATAATCCAATATTTTTTAGATGGATATAGTGACAACTAATTTTAAGCCTAGTTCAATTAGTTAAGACATATATCTTTGAGTGTATATATATTATGGACCAAAAGGTCGGAGGTTAAAATCTCCCTGTCACATATTTACCTAAAAAAAATTTGATGGATTCAATGGCACCATATTATGATTTTTGTAGATTTCGTTCATTCTGTTTGGTTTTATTTTTGTCACTTTATTTTGGAAGTTACTAAAACATAAAAAATTAAAATCAGTTAAAATTAAGTTAAAAAAAACTTGTCTTTTATTTTTGCTATTTAGCCAAATCTTTAAATGTGTTTTTAGAAAATGGAAAATTCATACAGAAGGGTGAACAATAAATACTTTGTTTTCAAATTTAAGTTTAAAAAACAAGCATCATGAAATAGAATATTAATTAAGATAACAAATTAAAGAAAAAACAATGACAACACACACAGAACAAAATCAAATTACTTTCTAAAAATACTTTTAAAAATCAAAATGTTAAAAAAATAGTAGTATTGATATATAATGACGATTTTTTTTTCTAATACAATACGTGGAGTGGGGTGGAGAATTGAATCATCGACCTTTTGATTGGAGATATATAATAATGAGTTTGATTGTTAAAGAAATAAAGTGGTGAGTGGGTGGTGCAGTGTGGTAAATATCCACACGATAAAAATTCAATAAAGATTAATATCTCTAGAAAATTATTAAAAAATTATAATAAATATGTGAAATAACAAAAGAAAAAAAAACATATATATAATCTTTTGGGTGGGAGACAAATGTTTTGACTATGTTCATATTAATTATTAATACTAATATTATATCATATTAGTGATCTTTTTGAATTCGAACACTATGTTTATCAATTTTAGGAAATCAAAAACAAAATACATATATTGTTGTCAATTTTTTTTAGTCAATTCACCTTTTACATCGACAGGAATCATAAATATATAAAAATATTGATAAAAATATGGACATATCTCACGGTAGAGGTAGAAGTGCAGTCGAGAGGACAGTTGCTGACAAACTTTAATTAGGGCTGTCCGACATGACGTTTTTCTCAATTCTCTGTCTCATATCTGTGAATAGAGAGAGAGATTTGATACATCGAATTTGGAAGAAGGGCCTTTAATTTAGCCATTGAAAGTGACTCCCGATATATCTTTAACATCTCTTTTCCACCACTACCCCTCACATTCACACAAATCAATATCATTCTCATCCCATCTTGCTTACTCAATTACAAAATAATAATACTCTTTGTATTTTTCCTTTTGTATGATACTAGACAAATATTATCCACTTCTTTTCCTTTTATAAATAAATACATTATCCATCTCGTAGTTCAGCGTGGAGGTAGGTTTGGATAATTATCTTTAATGGTATGAGATTCTTTGGGTGAAACTAAAAGTAAAGCCGTGAATGTTATATCCAAAACGGACAATATCATACAATTGTGGAGATATTTGGGTAACATGGAGTGTCGTTGTCATTAACAGTTTACATATTAGATTTGCACTAGGATTGAGTTAATGAGCGATAATTTTATTTAACACGACAGACATGAGAGAGTGGGTCAAGTAGATAAAATAAGAGTGGGTGACCCAATTATTGATCCTTATTTTTTCTAGTGTGCCTATTCAAATCATTATTTGTTAGTTCGATCAAACGTGTCACGTTGAACGTTTAAGTAATGATGCTAATGATATAGACTCATTAGAATTAAAATTGAACGTCAAGTGATGTAGTTGATAATTTTGTTTGAGTTTAGAGATGAAATAGATACAACTATTCAAACTAAAGGACTAGATTTGTAGTTTAATATGTACGGAGGTGCCACTTTGACCCTTTTTTTAATCTATAAGACCTTCTAAAACTATTTAGATATCTTCATTCACTACTAGAAATTACATTTTTGACGACGTAGAAATACGTCGACAAAAGTCGAAAAAATGTTGGCCAAAAATTTTCTGATGAAAAGCTTTTGTCGACAAAGGGTCGTTGGAAAAACCCCTTGCCAACGGAAAAGAGTAAAACGTCGTGATAGACCATAAATTTTCGTCGAAAAATCTTGTAGTGATTTTAATAGCATTATTTCTACCTTTCAAAAATTCCTCCAAAAGAATAAGGTACAATTGTTTAACCTCCAAAGTACTTCAACCCACCAAATATCTACCTTTAGTGGCCTTTGCCACTTTTTAGTACTCCCCTTTCAATTGGTTAGAGCCAATCTATTAATTATTTGTCTATGTTATTTATGTCGGTATACATATTGTTCAGTGGATAAGGTTTAACAACTTAAAGTTAATGGTTCAATCTTCATTCTTACAATTGTTGAACTCGAGAAAAGGTAAATCATATTCCAAATATCTCATTATATTTTTCAACCTAATACTTCTTCAAATATAAGATGAATCCATGTTCAATTCTTGAAGTATACATGTCCAAGAACTCTTCTTAAGATGTCAGCTAATTTTTTTTTTTATAATCTTTAGTGTAGAGTAAGTGTAACGCTCGATTAGAATGAATCGATACCACATCTGAATGAGAAGGATCCTGAAACCATAGAAAGTATGGTTAAAAAAGCTTAAAAGAAAGTTACTACCTATACTAACAAAGTGCACCTTCCTTTTCGATAATTCAATCGTAACATGAAATAATCTTCGACTGGTGACCTCCTAACAAGGATAGCTAGCTTAGTTAAAAATCAATAGTTTTTTTTCAGCGAAAATGAACTTAATTTGATAAGAACAATAACACTACAATGAGTTACACATTTGAAACTGAACCTCCACTCGCGACATTGAGAAGCCAAATGGGGAAACAACACTATCCCAAAGACTAGAAAGACCAAAGTGCAAAACGCAGCTCATCAAAATGTTAAGGACAACGTTACCCAAAATTATCTCCACAATGGTATGATATTGTCTGTTTTGGCCATCACCCTCACAGGTTTGTTTTTTGTTTCACCAAAAATGTCTCATACCAATGGAGATAATTGTCTTTCTCTTATATACCATGAATCACTCCGCCCCAACCCGAACATATCATAAACCCACAAATATTCCTCCTTCACCAACCCATGATACAAATTTCAATCCACTGAGAAGATATATGACAAGCATATCAATATCAGGAGTAGTTCACTTTTATTATAAACCTTCGTAACRCTTTTTGGCTCATCGATCTTGGTCGATGCTTATTTGAGCGTTTTTAGACTCTGATATCATGTCAATATTCATGAGGTTCTATTTCAAAATCAATTAGTATGAGAAGTAATCCACTTGTATTATAAACATTTGTTAGATCCCTTATTAACAAATGACATCCACACTTATTTGGATCCATTTCTGAATCGGGTCTTCACATTTTCTAGTGTATTTCTACCAAAACTTTGACATAGTGATGTGATTTTTGCACTTCCATTCCATCATTTCCAAAAGCAACGTACTCAAATTTGGCCGCAAACTCTAGCATGGATCTTTCTTATTTCCCGATTTAAGAGGATTAGAGGAACCAAATCATTTACAAATCTAGCACAATAATGTTAAAAATGCTTTTTCTAATAGAAAATAATGTTAAAAATAATAAATTAATTACAATTCATTCTTATTTATAAAGATAATAATTAATTAAATAAATTAGGAAAACAAGTCACAATATTTCATTTTAAGAATATGGCATAATATTTCATTTTGGTATTTGAGTTCCTTCCAATTGGGACTCAAGAAGTAAAAGAAAAAAAAAAAGTTACTTTCAATATCGGTCTATCAATTTTTAAATGTCTATTTTAACTCCCTGAACTTTTAAATATTATTTTTAGTACGTGAAGTTTAAAAAATATAATCGTTAGTTGACCTATATGGTTTCGCTCACATCAATATGTTAATACATATATTTGAAGTCATGTCTCATCTATTTGTTAAAAGAAAAACAATTGGTAATGAAAAAATAAATTATTCTTAAAAAAAGAAGTTTAAGAGACTTGGACATTTTCAAGGTGGACAATATACTAGATCTAACCGTTTACGGATTAAAGTATATATTTTGAAAATTCAGGGATGAAAATGAAATCTTGAAAGTTTAGGACTTGTTTGGTATGCAATCTAGATTGTGTTTATTGTTTTTAGATTAACCATTAGTGAATATTTGTTTAGTTTGTTTAGTAAATTTGTTATTTAAATTAATCAAAGTATTGAAAAATTTGAAAACATATTTTTATGTTGTTGTACTAAAAAAACATATTTTTATGTTTTCAGTATTTTCAAATCTTAAATTTAAAACTTTAAAATTGAAACTTTTGCTAAATATATTATTTAACGTTAAAAACTCATTTTTATTTTTTTAAAATTAAAACTGAGAATATATTAATTGTAAAAGAATAAGTGTACAAAATTTATAACATATAAGTTAATAAATTAATTAATAAAATTTTATATTGAACTAAATATTTAATTGATAACTGCCACTATTTACAAATATGTTAATATAAACTTGAGATTTAACTTCTAAATGTGCTAAAAAATATATTCAAAAAATATTGAAAAATTTCATTGAATATGAGCTCTCATATTTAAATTTCTATTTTCAGATTTAACTAAACAAACTAAATTAGATTTAAAACAAAAATAAGACTAAACTTAAATTTTTGGATCTCCTGACAATCTATTAAAGCAAGCAGTTGTGAATTTTAATCCCTACCATGTAACTCTTGACTAATATCGATAAGTTCACGTGTTGGATTCCATAAATAAATTTAATATTCAAGCACACTGTGATTTAACATTTTATTGGTCATGCCAAAAAAAAAAAGTATTGACATGTTAAAAAAATAATACATTATTCTATCATGGCGTCTTTGGGAATTTCAGAGTGAAACTTTTATTAGGGATTTTTTTCTATTATATATTTATAGTTTTATAAAATTTTAAAAAACGACTTACAATATTTTAAAAAAGAATTTCATTTATTAAGTTAAACATAATTCAATTGATTAAGACATTTTATCTTTGAATCTTCACCTGTGAGTATCCTCCAAAATTCTAACATAAGCATAGTTTAGCAGTTAGAACGTCCACCTTCAAACTTAATTTTTCATTTTAGTATTTGGTATAGTTAAAAAAAATAACAAAATTTGTTAAAATTGAAGTATCGAACTATGAAAATTAGATTTTAATTATAAACAAAAATGAGAGAGAACTAAAACTAAATCCATTTCTCTTGCTACGAAAGCCTATCTTTTCGCAAAAAGGAGGGATCTTTCTTCCAACTTATGAAACTAATTTTCAATAAACCAAAACAATTAACATAAAAAGAACTAATTTCCCATCAAATTTTGTGAAATTGAAATCCCCTCGAAACAAATTTACCAGTGGCCGACGATTCGTGAACAAATTTCCCTGGGGGACGTGGGATACTGTCCCGTCATTGGTTTTTGACCCGTTGGAGCGGAATATGAATATCGTCTGAGGAACAAGGATATAGACTCAGTCGTCTCGTCGGTCGCCGTCTCCGATCAGGACAAATTCTCACCCCGATTTAAAAAAATAGAGGTTTACTTTTATTATTTTACGATGACCCATTTCATTAAACTATTGTTTTTTCCCCCAATAATGCTGCTTCTTCATTTGCCCGCAGATGATCAGAAGAACAGTGGCGAAATCGATGTGGATCATGTCGGTTTGAGCAGAAAAACGCTTGAATTTGGGTATGTTTGTACTGAATCCTTGCTATTGGGTTCTGGGTTCCTCGGTTCGAGGGATTCTAGGTTATTTTTGCGACTTATTCTCCATTTTCCGTTTGTGTTCGATGGTTTTCTTTTTAATTTCTGTTGGTCTGGATCCTATGTTTAGTTTTCATTTTCTGGGCTGATGGGTTTTCTGGGTTTTTTGTGTGTTCGGCAAAATTTGTTTTGGAATTACCGAAGTTGATATTGTTTGGTTATTGGTATTGAAATATGGGTGTCGGTTTATTTCCTTTGTTGTTGTTTCATTTTCTTTAACTATGTGCTTTAATGGAGTAGATTCTTACATGGTTGGGGGTTGTTCTGATTGTTGTTTTCTTGCTTATTTTGTGTTAATTGATGGCTTTGATTCTCTTTGGAGGTCCTTTTAATGTCTATGAGATTGAGTTTCTGAGTATGGTTCAGTTATTTCATGGCTTTTGAAGTTTGTTATTGCAATTTGTAAATTTCTGAAGTGGGAGTGTTTTTGTCTGTTTTGTTTTTGCCGTTGCTTTTAAGGCCATTGTTTCAGCGATTTGGTGGACAGACATTTGCCCCGGGAACAGACCTTTATCTTTGATTGTGAAGTTGGACTTCCTTTTTCTCTATTTTTTTGGTGGCGGGGAGTGTGTTTTCGCTTTTAGAGTCAGAAAGGCTATGAGATTGAGTATATGGCTTTAAGAGAAGAGGACCTCAAATTCGATCCTGAAAGCGGGGGGAGGATTGGCCAAGAGGTTGGGAGCAAAGAACCAAATTCAATAAAGATAGAGGAGAAGAATGTTTGGAGTAGGTTTACAGAGGCTGGACTGCCAAAGGATGAACGAGGTGTCACCTTAAACGGTAATTTTGCGAATTCTGTTGGCGAGGTCATTGCTGATGAGAACATAGAATTGTTAATAGATAAGGGTTTGGAAGGAGAAGATGGTCGTGAAGTTGTTGCGCTTGTGGAGAAGAATAATGTGAGAGGGAAGCATAAGAATAAGAAAAAGGCTCTAAAGCCACCGCGACCACCTAAAGGTCCTTCACTTGACGCTGCTGATAGAATGCTGGTGAAGGAAATTGCAGTGCTTGCTATGAAAAAGCGTGCAAGAGTCGAGCGAATGAAAGCATTAAAGAAGGTGAAAGCAGAGAAAACGTCATCTCTGAGCAGTTGCATACCTGCCATGATTATTACATTCCTCTTCTTCCTTGTCATAATCATTCAAGGTTAGTAAATTATAGGTCCTATTACTTTTGCTCTTAGAATCTGATCGGTCTCAAAAATTTGAACACCTTCAATTGATGGGAGTCTCCGCTGTCTCCGAGCTGCTGTTTGGGGGGGAAGGTTGTTCATCTTGTTGGGTTCTGTGATGTTTTTATCAGTCTATGTCTGCCTTTACCGATATGTTTTTATGGACATGTCTGTCTTGTTCAACTCTTTTTACAGGAATAAGCTCCAGAAGTAGTTCGATGTTGCAGGGGTCTCCCGGACCCGGACCTTCTGTCGGTGGTAGTAGCGGTTTCATTTCCATTCAGTACATAAATAGCCTTCCCCCAAATCAAAGCGATATACCTGATCACTCCTCTGTTAAGTGCGTGTTGCTGAACAATCATGATTGATGAAATACAAGTTTGTACATAATTCTAGTCTAATTTTTATATTATCTTGTTGATGCAGTTCTGCAGCATAGCTCGGTTTCTGGTTTTGTTCCTCTAGGAGGAAATAAAAGCTGGCTGATTTGAAGAGTTTTTGAAGTTGAGATCCTATGTGGCAGCTCGGTGGCCCATACGGCCTTCATTTTTTGTTTTTCTTTTTTCTTTTTATAGTTATTGTGATATGTGATCACGTTGACCATGGTTTTTGTAAATAAAACGAAGAATTTTCGGTTTTTTGTAATCAAATGCTTTTATATTTTAATTCTATGTTAAATAATTTATATTGGCAAGTTCATAGATGTAGCTGACCTTGCTTGTTTCCAGGCTTTCTTTTGATCAATTGAATTATGAACCTCTTCCTGTTCAATTTAGATCAAATCTGCAGAACTATGATGATACAATTGGCAGATGCTTAACCCACTAGACTTTTGATTGGCTGACTGGTGCAGGATGTTCGATCTGTTCTCCGAGGATCAAACAGGTACGACAACTGTACAAATGATTCTTTAATTTGTTAGATTTATGGGCGAATGTATCATGTTAGGTACTTGATAGCATTATGATTTGCTTGTTCTGATAAACTATGCTTGGAGGTAGAGCTGTAGGCCTCTTCTCCAATGAACCAACTTGATCTTTTATCCAAGATGTCAAGTTCTCCGGTCTTGTCACCGGCTCGGCAAGCTAAAAACACACATTGGACGTGAGAGATACCGAGTTTCATGACGATTATCATTATATTGAGATCATTAGAAGATTTATAGTATCTGTTTTTATTCTTTACTTTGAGATGTTTCGATTTGAATTAGAAGAATCTTATTGGCCAGCGTGAGTTTAGCTTGTCAATAATTGATACCTATCTCCGATCAAGAGGTCATGAGTTCGAATCCCCCTTGTTGTACCAAAAAAAATAGGACATAAAAGTAGCAAATGTGCAGATTTTGAAGGTTTATTTCTTTAGCTTGTGCTGTTTCAGAGATTGGAGAATATCATTTATTTTGTGATATTTTTTCTTTCAAATATAGAATTCTCTTCTATGGTACTCCAAGTTTCCTTTTAAGTTTGAACTCTATAAATAGGCCTCATCTTTCTCTCTGTTTTCTTTTCCTCTCATTCTCTCTCTACCCTTCTCATGTTTCTCTCTCTACTCTCCATTTCTTTCTCTCTCTGGCTTAAAGATGTTCCCTCTCATCAAGTGGGCTGCCATTGTTGTTTCTCTGCTACTTGTTAACCACTCTTCATCTTTGGTTGCAGCCAATCTCATTACAGAAACATGTTCGAAGACATCCCATGTTGACCTTTGCATATCGAGCCTTGGGGTCTACCCTCGAAGCCCGACGGCCGATGTTAGGCGTCTTGCCGAGATCATCCTCAAAGAGACATTAGCGAACGCCCAAGAAATTCTGGCACAGAGTTGAGAGCTTCATCAACCAGACGACAGATCCTGCAGTGAAGGAATGTCTCGCTGCCTGCAAAGTGCTGTATCGACTTGTAACCGACTCGACGATCCCAAGCGCAATGTGGCAACTCTCGTTGAAGGAGTACAAGATCGCTGTTGGCAATGCCATGGATGTGGCTTGGGAGATCGGGGCTTGTGGAGAGGCATTCAAAAATAGGTCTTTAGAGTCACCATTGACATCATGTAACTCTGCTGTGATAAGCTTTGCTGAAATCTCTACTAGTATTGTTTGCCAATTTTTTTCCCTTTTTTTTTATATTATTTGGAAGTTGCATTCAATATGGTTTTATTTAAAAGATTTAAGTCCATGAAACATTTATAGAGCCTCTTTTAGCAGTGGAAGATCTTTGGAGTTGAATAGATTCAAACTTCGGAAGTAGTAGATCCAGAATAGCATTGAGTTAGTTGCTTTTGCAGTAGATCAGCTGATCCGACACAACTTATTCATAATACATGTATATATTTTGATAATAGATGATAGTGGCATACCTTCAATCTTGAAGGTCCCTTGATAAACACCTTTCTATCTCTAAATAAAAGAAAATTTCATTTTAAAATAGGCATTCTAACAGAGAATTAACATTTAATTGAGAATATCATAAAAATATAGTAACAAATGGGGACATAATTTCCTAGGGATAATCTGATCTCAGTGAGTTTTTCGTGGAAAAATCGGTCTTCCACAAATCAAATGGGTGGGCAGCGTAGACTCTTTCATCTTGTATTTGACTTTTTTTTTTGTTAAATTAACTAAATCTTATCTTATTTGAATTTTTTTTTAGTACATCTTATTTGAAAGGTTGAAAACTCATAATAAAATTTACTTGAAATATCAGGGCTATTTGGTCCTTGATTTTGATCTTAAAAAATTTTAAGAATTTATGCTATTATATTCTTTTCTTTACTATTAAAATGTTGATGATGTAATGTAGCACTCATTTAATAAAAATTTTAAAAGAGGAAAATAAAATAAACAACTCAAACTAAGGATATAAAAGTATGCGAAGATAAAAGGTAAAAAAAAAAAAAACAAGTTGCACGCATGAAATCTCACACGGACTTGACTGGGCCACAGGTGATGCACCTCAGTTAGGCCCAAGTCCAAACGGTTTCTTACACTCGCCATACTTAATGTAATTGTTTAGGTTGGGCCGGCCCAATGATGAGGGAGCACACTTTGGAGTAAGTATCGGTTGGTCAGGATCAGTTTTTGACCAATCATGGAAACTGACTTCTATACCATGCTATCTTGCGCCGACCAATCGAAGATTTTGTTGGTTTTAGAATTTTCTTCAGTTTTAGAACAGTCTTCTTTTTGGTGGAAGATGCTGGTATCAGAACTACGGTAGGCTTTTGAAGCGAAAAAGAAAAAAAAAGGATATGAAATCGACGATCCAAGAAAGGAAGAAGAAGAATGAAGAAGAAGATGAGGGAGAATGGGTGTGACGAAGTGAGAGATGAGAGGAGGAAAAAAAAGAGAGGAGATGAGAAAGTAGAAAATAAATGGGAGGGGAGGAATGGAGAAGATAACGAAGGTAAAAAGAAAAATAATAGAAAGAAATTACCTTGAAAATCAAATGGCTGTTGGTTTCAAAGCTGCTGCAGCACAAAGCACAATTCTAGCAGCATGCGACCTATGCAGTCTGTCCCTTTTTTTTTTATTTTTATATATTAAACATAAATGGTCGGTTAATTTAGTTGGAAATAAACTGACCAACGAAAAATAAGTTTTGGAATCTCAATCGATTTTTTCATCAAATCAACCAACTAACATTGTTTCGTCGTTTTTTCAGAGGCCTTCAAAATTTATTTTGTTAAGCTCTTCGTTTCTTTACTAAATTAGTCAATTTTTTTCCAATGTTAAATTATGACTAATGATGTAGAGACTACATAAAATTAGTTCTTCTAAATTTATATGATTGATTTTAGTACGCAAAAATAAGAGATTGAACCTCCCACCTTTAAGAAAGAAACAAAAATTACGGGTAAGTTAGGCTCGTATTTTATTAATTTATATGATTTAAGTAGACAAAGACAAAATTACCATAATTAATTTATCAACTAAATGCATAATAACTTAGTCGGCCTTCTTATTTAATGGCATGAGCGATAATTGTACCCTAAAAAAGTTGGCGGTCAACGTTGAAACCATCCAAATTTACTTGTCAAATATGTTATTTTCATATCATTATTATATATCGACCTACCCAAAAAAAAAAAAGTGTTAAAACTCTTGAAAGATCATCAATAATTTATGCTAGAAACAACTCTGACGACTCGTTGAAATTCAATCAATTCTACAAATTAAGATATTATTAAAACAAAGCATAAATCAATCGTAATTGACATAAATCTCATATCAAAAGATTTTGAGTTCGATTTCCCACACTCATATGTTCCACTTTAAAAAAAAATAAAAAAGATCGNAAAAAACAGAAAAAATGCGAAAATTTTGTTGTTTTTTTTTAATCATTATAATATTTAAGATCGTTATTGTTTCTTGTTTCTCGTTTTTCATATTTCTCAATTTTTATTTTGTTTTTATCGATCCTTAATTAGGGTTCTTCCTCCTTAAACTTAAATCATCTAAATCTTAAACCCGAACCTTTTGATGAAAAGAAATGAAAACATTAAAAGCCATATGGGAGATGCAGTTTGTAACTTTCTAATGTCATAATCATTCACACATAGTTCTTTCTATTTTTCTCCAAAAGAAACATATAAAGTCTTTGGTCTCATAAGTCATGCATATGAACGTGTCCCACGAATTGGTCGAACAAATAGTGACACATCCCCCCGTGTTTTGAGATCTCTCTTGTTTGTGTGTTCAATCTCGGCTCTCGAAAAAGAACAATATTTTCCGAACGTTTTTCTCACTTACTGGTTGAAAATTTGATGATATATCGGTCAGCAAAGAGATTCCTATTCACCAAGTCACTAGGTAAGTATTTTCCCTTAAAAAATGTCGTCTTTGTTAGATGAGTAGTGAGTCATGCATCGTAGTGTAAAAAAGTTTTGAGTTTAAAGGTGTTAGGTGTGTGACCAAAATTTCATATTAATTAGGATAAAGTGGAAGATCGTGAGTATACCAGTGAGGGTTGAGACAAACATCTCCAATATAATGTATATATGGAACCTTTTGAGTGATAACAAAAGCAGAATTATAATATTGTGTCTAAAGAAGACATCATATTATTTTGGAGATGCAGGAAAGTCCGTTGTATATGGATATGTGAGCTCAATTATCAATTATGATTTAAATAGTGATTTAACAATAGTATTCTAATAAATATTCGTGTATTCGAGCTCTAAAATGTCATTTCTTAATTATTTAAAATTTTTTAAAGAGTATAGCATTACATATTAAGAGATTCAAATTGTATCCTAACTTATCAACTTAAACGTGTGATGGTCAGAGATAGGTGCCTTAAYCATATGAGCTATAACTTGTTTTGATGGCTCTTTTGATTTGTATTATTCAATATTTATTATTTATTATGATATGAAATATATTTGCTTAAGTTTGAAATATGTATTTTGATTTCAGATGATTTTTCAATGGGGGGGGTGGATATAGCATTTATAATTTGTTGGAAAATTTAACTTTGAAAAAATTGCATCGAGATTTTTATTAACATTTTGACTACACACAAGTAAGGAAATTGATACATACCTTCATCGATATTGAAAATTTTCATTTTTTTAGTATATATATATTTTTTGTCAAATTTAATATTTTGATAATGACTTAAAAAATGTTGAAAATTTTAATTTTGAAGTGATAATGGACTATTTAATGTGGAAGGAAGAAGTCTAAATTATATCTCTGCTTGATTTAAACTCAGGAGACATTTTTTGATAATAAAATAAAACAAAAAGATATTTACCAAAAAAAAAAATCTTTTTTTTAAATTAAAAGATAAAAATAATTTGTCTCTTATTTCTTTTGTTCTTTTATTCCTTTGTTTCATGATCCTAGGAGGTCTAGTAAAGAAGAGAGGACATTTTCGTCTTAAAAAAACTTAAGAGATTTTTCTTTTTCATTTTTAAGTTTAAATATTTTAAAGATAAGAGTTTTTTAATTGTATTTTTAACTTTTGTCGATTTTAGTTCATATATTTTGTAAATGTCTGCTTTGGTCCTTATACTTTTAAAAAGTAATCATTTTAGTCTTAATTTATTGAGTATGGAGTGTCGCATTGAAAATGTGATCGGAAAAAAATGAGTTAAAAAATAAAATTAACGACCAAAATGATTACTTTTTAAGAATGAAGGTACTATCAAAACAACCAATTAAAAAAATATATGGACTAAAATGAAAAAAATAATAAAAAAATGAATGATTTAATAGTGCGAATAAAAATGAATGACCAAGATATTGTTTTATTTTTTTTCAAAATGTTTTTCTTTGTCAGAGAGTTGTCATTGTTACCTCATGGACAAATTCATTCACTTGAGAGAGGAGAGAGAGAAGAGAATAAATTTTATTTTACATTTTAAATGAAATTTGTAAAATATGACTTCAATTTTTACTTATTGATCATCTAAGACTTAACTATAAATTAATTTATAGAATAAGGTTAAATTGAATTTGTTGATAATATTTTGTTTTTTAGTTTAATATTTATTGTGCCTTTATCAGATAATATTTTATTTTATTTCATATTAAATATAAGGTTGGTTATTTTAATTAAAATGATAATTAAAATTAAATTTTTTTTTTATTTTTTTTTTAGTTAAAAAACATGTGATTGTAGATTTACACCTCTCCTATTTTAGACCGAATGTATAGTTATGCTTAGTTTGGTAAAATTAAAATAATTAGACTGAGTAATTATTTATAATAATTAATATTAGAATGTCAATGTCCATTAATAACCTATGGTTTAGG